ATTGAACTACAATTTTAAAATATTATTTTTACTCTTAATTACTAATGGACTATATTTATTTAAAAAAAAAAAAAATATAATAGAATTACTTAAATTATTTAAATATATAAATATATATATATATATATATATATATATATATATATATATATATATATATAAATAAAAGTATATAAATATAAATAAATATATATATGTATAATTATTTATAAATTATATGCGCGGTACTTATTAGAAAGCGCTATCATAATTTTACACAAACTGCACCACACGTATATACATACATGCGAGGAAATATTTTTAAGCGAAAAAAAATATACATAATATGACATGTATACAGTCACGAGACACTAACGTGACATTTTTGCCACACTTCCAATGTTTAAATTTCAACATTTCAACATACAAATGCGTATGTATAGACATAACACCACCTGTATACATACATGTGTCATAGCCGAAACTGCCCACATACGTTTATATATGTATGAGTCCCGACAGACGACCAAGTATGTATATGTGTCTGCATATATCGATGTTTGCGTTAGTACGATGAATGACAAAACGACGAAATTTCCCCACCACTTCCTAATAACAATTAATACGCAATCTACATAAACCGAAATTTTTTAAAACATTAATCAGTTTGTCTGACGATCGCTAAAGCGTGAAACCCAGGGTCACAAACTCACATCTATCAACAAATATATATATATATATTCTTGGTTTTGCCAGGATTTCAGGGTGTTGTCGCTCAACGATGGAATCCCCTGAACGCTGTGGGTGTATTCAGATTCATAATCCCATCACTCGATTTACATTCTCTAATAGAATTACGTTGTTTGCACCAGCGTGCCTTATGGATACGTAAACCGCGTAAACCGTTGAATATTCTGCCGCAATCATACGTTGTAACCGGGTCCATATACAGGTCGTTTCCATTAAAATCAGTTTGATGGGTGATATATTCTCCCTCCCCGCTACAGTCACCCAGAGGGCATTCTACGTCACTTGTATTCTTGCTGGTCGGCGGCTGATGAAGTCAGGGTATCGCACGTGCTAACACACGTTGTATGTTAAAAATTGATTACCAAGACTCTCTGGAAAGCAAGATGACTCTTCGGAAAGACGAAGTAACCCTCTAGAAAGGTGGAGTGACATCTTGGAAAGACAAGAATCTACATTAAAGCATGAAGAATACAATTAGGCTCAATTGGACAGTTTTTACATTGTTTATCATCCGAAAAGAAAAACATAATAAGATCACATGACAAATTGCATAAAAAAAATAAATCTGTTAAGGGGTCCACCCCTTTTTCATATAAGTGGACTCGCCCAATGTATACTTGTACTGCTGCCGGTGAATACCCGGGAGTTAGACGAGAGATACACTGATATAGTGATACAGTGAGAGAGTGAGGTAACCGCTTTGTAGGAGTCACAGTTGCGAGCACGTAGACTTAGAAGGAAGTCATACTTCGATACTGAATTTCCCAGACTATATATATATATATATATATATATATATATTATTATTATTGCTACTAACCGAATTTATGGATCTACTAACCGTATTACCAATTGTATTATTACGTCATTACATTTATTTGCTATATTTCATTCCTGCATTTGTCATTCATTTGAGACCGGATTTCATCTCGGAATCTACAAAAAATCATAGCACCTTGTCGGTTATATTTAATGAAGAAAGGTTGCTGCCTAAAAACAAAAATTTTAATCATTATATGTGTAATTATAAAAACGATGCTTTATACTGCTATTATCGTATTGCTCTTCAATCGAATTGAATTGAACTTTCCGGGCTACTGACGTATTTCGCATAAAAAAAAAAGTTAAAATTTCCCTTCCCCTCTGCCATGCGAGGATAGCCTCGGTAGAATCTATGTCTGATACCAAACGGGTCGGGTTTCGATCCCGGCTTGAAGCAATCGGATAACTAGCCACACTGAAGAGCTGTGAATGACAATACTTATGCTCCCTAGAAATCCGGGTGGGCTCTCTTGAGAAAAGGGTAAAAAACATTTTAATCATAATAAGGGTAAGTATAAAAACCGTGGCTCATACCGCTATTAACGCATTGCTCTTCAACCGGCGTATTACGCATAGAAAATGTGATAATCTCCCATCATCTCTGCCGTAGGAGTAGAATATTAGTGATAAATATACACATACATATGAAAAATATATAAATATATATACATACATGCATACACATACATATATATTTTGTATAAAAAAAATTCTAAGAGGAAGAATCCAGGTAGAACTCAATGTCTAGGACAGAGTAAGGATATAATAAAAAGGCTTAAACACTAATATTTCCTGGTCATAATTTATTCCATTGGAATCGTAACTACGATCCAATTCATCAGACCTACAAATTCAAAAAGCATTTTTATAGAAAAAAAAATGTTGTGCAATGCTATTTTATAATAAAAATAGTTTACAATTCATTTTTATAGTAACAAATCATTTGTAATTCATTTATTTATTTAATTTATTGTGAAAATCATTTGCAATGCATAAATTCCTGTGCAATTTTTAGCAAGTTATTCGCAATACCTTTTCAAATTTTATTTTAATATAATCGCAAATCCTTTCTAGTGCATTTTTATCGTAAAAATAATTTGTAATTCCTTTTACAGCAAAAACCATTTGCAATACATTTTTATACTAAAAAAATAATTTCCAATGTATTTTATTGTAAAAATCATTCGTAATGCATTTTTTAGTAAAGTAATTGGCAACACATTTCCTGCTGAAACCCTTCACAATGGAGTTTTTAGGAAATTATTCGCGCTGCATTTTCAAACTAAATATCATTTGCAATGCTTTTTTAAAGAAAAGAATTCATACTGCATTTTATAGTAAAATCATTCTCAATGCACTTAATCGTAAAGAAATCCGTTTTATAGCAAAATAATCTGTAATGCATTACTGGAGTAAATTCATTCCAAATTGATTCTTTTTTTTTGTTTTAGTATATATTACATTGCTTGTTACTAATTATTAGGAGATTTGACGTATTTGCTTAATATTTCCCTAATTTCCAGGGTATTTATATATGCTTATATATATATATATATATATATATATATATATATATATATATATATATATATATATAACGTAATTATTACAAGGAATTATATTTTTGGCGTATTACTTTAATAAATTCGAACGAATATGTTGCATAATATTATCGAATATAATGGCGAGTTGGCTGTCGTTGCGGTAACATCAATGACGACATCTAAAATCTACTTTATGTTATATGGGTTCTCAAGAATCCGACAGTAAGTTACAAGCGACTTTATTAATTCATACTCTGCATTAGCAATGAAACATAGACTTTACCTATAAAGATAATCGTCCATTTGACTGAAAGATACAGCGTATTTGTTTAACCTTAACCGACATATAAAAAGCTTCATAAATAGGTATTTTATATTTAAAGACGAAAAGTAGTACACGTTATTTTTCCTTCATTGAAACAATGCTGATGTAATCGAATAACCAGTTACCCCCATGAATGATTACACTATAGGTAGTATGTCCCTATAAAATCAATCATATACGAGAAACTAGAGAGGACATTGTGATAGAAAAGACGCAAGCACGTCCGATCTTCTAGTTAGTGGCACTCACTACTAGATTGACCTGTGTTTATAACTGTACCGTATTTCATATTGTATTTGTTGTGTACAGTAAACATTTCTTCTAGTATCGACCTGGTGTTATGTGTTTATTCCTTAGCGCGGGATATAACAAATGCTTTACGTAATTTTACTTTTAAAGTTAATACTGTTCTTCTATACGTATTTTTAATTAGTTCTTGTTCTTAGAGGATTCCAATGAATATAATATTATTAAATTAATAAGATGCTTGTGAATATGAACTGTAATTGGAATATTTGAGCTAAAGCCGTCGTTGGTCGAAAGATTTGTCTGAAAAAGTTACATGTAGTCATTATTGGTAATACGATATCGTTGGTCTTGTCATCTATGTTTGTTACGTAGCAACCAGTCTCGTGCGAAATGTTGATGGCGCAAATATAATTAATTGCACAGAAGCTTTCTGCATTGCATTTAAAAAAAAAGATGTCGCAGGACATCAAATAAAAATTAAGTTTGATACATAGAACATTTTGATGAGGATAACAAAATAACTGCCCCACCCCCACCCCGCAAAATATAAGATTTTTCAAGGACAGTTTGAAGAGTGTTGGAAGATGGAATGGTGAGGTTTGAGACAGGGAGTTTACAGAGAGAAAAGAAAATCTAAGAAAATGGGGTCGAGGCTTAGAATGTAGAAGGAAGAAACAGAAAATGAAGGAAAAAGAAGCCCTGAAGATGCAGGCTGAAAGACGCAAAGAAACAAAAGGAAGCCATAAAGATTAATTACAGAACAAATTCCAATGAAATGCGAATATGGCCAGTAAATCAAGACGAAGGCGAAGAACGAAAAGCCAAAAAGTCAGAAGTGTATATTAATAATAATAATAATAATAATAATATTAATAATAATAATAATAATAATAATAATAATTTGGTATAAATAATAAGATGAGGAAACAAAGGTAAGACGTGTGAGATGAAAGCACAGATAGGAAAGAGAAAGATGAAACAAGATAAACGCAAGCAAGAATGAAAGAAAGCAAAAAGGAGAGAAAAAAGAAAGAGAGAAAGAAATTAAGAAAGAAAGAAATAGAGAATGAGAGAAAGAAAGAAAACAAGAAAGAAACAGCGAGAGAAAGAAAGAGAGAAGGAGAGAGGAAGTAAAATGAGAAAAATAAATTGTCATAGACAAAGAAAAAGAAATATTTGAATGCATAAATAAACGAGGTAAATAAAATTTGTCAGGGAATGTTAAAAATACTACTACTACTACTACTACTACTACTACCAATAATAATAATAATAATAATAATAATAATAAAAAATGATAGAAGGAAAATTGAAAGAAATAAAAAAATTGGTTATAAAAATAAATCCAAATAAAGAAGAGAGGGAAAGAAAGAAAGAAAGAAAGAAAGAAAGAAAGAATGAATGTAAGAAAGCAAGTAATAAATAAAGAAAGAAGAAAGTAAGAAAGAGAAAAATAGAGAAAGAAAGAAAGAGACAGAGAGAAAGAATTTAGAAAAAAACAAAGAAAGAAAGAAAGAAAGAGAGAAAAAGCGATTGAAAGAAAGGAGGAAATAGAGAAAGAAAGAAAGAAGAAAAGAAAGAATAATGAGAAGGATAACTTGTAATAGACAAAGAAATATGAATTATAATTGAGTTAATAAATGAACGAGATAAATATAAATTGGCAGGAAACAATAATATTAGGTTGGTTTACAAAAAATAATGACGTAATAATGTCGTTTTTTTGACGTATTTTTAACGTCGAAAAACGACATTATTCGTCATATTTTTACCAACCCACAATAATAATAATAAAAATATAATAATAAAATGATAATAGAAAAGAAATGAAATAAAAAATTGAATATGAAAATAAATCAAAGAACAGAGTAGAAGAATCATGAATTGGTTTCTGGGAAGAAGAAATCACGCCAAAGAAATAAAGAAAGAAAGAAAGAAAGAAAGAAAGAAAGAAAGAAAGAGGAAACAATTTCAAACTTGTTTTTCTGAGGAAAATGGAATTACATCAAAGAAAGTAAGAAAGAGCCACAGGTAACTGAAAGCCAGAAAAGTAGTTTCGTCGAAGAAAACAAATTCATAGCGACAAATAAAGTAAAAAGTTACAGAGAAAACCAAAAAAAAAAAATTAAAGTATAAATTTCAAATATATAAACCAACATAGGCGACAAAAATAAAATCAGATCAAAGAAAGAAATAACGAAATAAATAAATAAATAAATAAATAAATAAATAAAAATATATGATTTTAAATTGACTTCAATAAGAAAAATGAAATCAGATCAAAGATAGAAAGAATAAACGAAACCGGAAGAATTTTATATCAGTTTCGATGAAAAAATGAAATTGCATCAAAAAAGAAAGAAAGAAAGTCAGAAAGAAAGTGGAAAGAATGAAGAGGTTTTTAAATCATCGTCGATAAAAAATGAAATTAAATCAAAAAAAAAAAAAAAAAGAGCGAAAGAAAGTAGGAAGGCTAAAGAAAAACAGGGAGAAAAATTATAAATTAATTTCGGTGTAGGCATTGAAATCACAAGAAAAGAAAGAAAAAAGAAAAAGAAAGAAAGAAAGAAAGAAAGAAGAAAGAAAGAAAGAAAGAAAGAAAAAGAAAGAAAGAAAAAAAAAGAAAGAAAGAAAGAAAGAAAGAAAAGAAAAAAGATGGAAAGAAAAGAAAGAAAAAGAAAGAAAAGAAATATGGAAAGAAAGAAAGAAGGAAAGAAAAAAGATGGAAAGAAAGAAAAAAGAAAAGAAAAAAAGAAAGATGGAAAAGAAAAGATGAAAGAAAGAAAGAAAGAAAGAAAGAAAGAAAAGAAAGATGGAAAAGAAAGAAAAAAGAAAAAAGAAAGAAAGGAAAGAAAGAAAGAAAGAAAGAAAGAAAGAAAGAAAAAAGAAAGAAAGAAAGAAAGAAAGAAAAGAAAGAAAGATGGAAAAGAAAGAAAGAAAGAAAGAAAGAAAGATGGAAAGAAAGAAAGAAAAGAAAAAGAAAAGAAAGAAAGAAAGAAAAAAAAAAGATGGAAAGAAAAAGATGGAAAGAAAGAAAGAAAGAAAGATGGAAAGAAAGAAAGAAAGAAAGAAAGAAAGAAAGAAAGAAAGAAAGAATCAACGAACAAGCAAAAAATAGTTGATGGTGAAGAATAAAAAGATATCAGATTAAAATCAGAGAATAAAGAGAAATGACCACAATGAAAACAACAGCAAAGAAGAAAAAAAAAACAGGAAAGAAATCCATCAGGTGCAGACAAAGAAGAAGAAGAAGAAGAAGAAGAAGAACAACAACAACAACAACAACAACAACAAGAAAGAGAACAAGAGAGGATGAAGAAGCGGATATTGAAGAAGAAAAAGAAGAAGATGCAGAAAAAGAAGAAAAATGATGATGATGATGATGATGATGATGATGATGATGACGTTGAAAAAGAGGACGAAGGGAAGAAAACGCAGAAAAAAAGGAAAAAGAAGTGGAGGATGAATAAAAAGAAAAAAAAAAAGAATAAATGAAAAAGAGGAAGAAGAAAGAGAAGAAAAAGAGGAAAGGAAAACAGCTCGAGAAAAAAATATAGGCTGTTTTTTTTTTTTTATTTAAGAAATAAAAATAATTAAACGCGATATGTTAAACACATTAGTCATTGATTTTATTACAAATTTCTGTTCCACTGTAGAAAATACTAGAAGCAAAATATTTCCTTTTTTTTTTCATTCTGACCTTGAAGTTCCATTTTTGGTCACCAACCTCTTACAAGATTTTTTTCAGATTTTTTTAAGGAATTATCATTTGAATTGCGTCTTGACGATCTAATCTTTTTTCAATCTAAATTCCTAACAATGTGCAATCCCGCTACCGATTTGATTAAAATATTCCATTATAGCAGAAATAGAAATAGGACTTTCTAAAAATTCTTTAAAAAACTGTGTTAATTATATAATACAACGATTCTTTCTAGCCATATTTATCGCGTCTCGGTTGCTGTAAGCAGCAGCCTTCTACAAGGTTTGAAAATTTTCTCATCCAATTTAATAAGAGCAATTTAATATACAAAATGTAAAGACAATATACCAACTGATGCACGAAAGTTTAACATCTAGATCTGTACGATCAACACTAGCCTCTATCATTGTGAGGCAACATATAAGTTTATGCAAAATTGTCCAAATCGTGTAATAAACAGCATTGGATAATTGTTCGTCCCACAAAAATATTTAATAACCGCTAAACTAATTGAGTTTCTTTTTGTCAGGTTTTGAGATAAGGATTTTAGCCATCTTGATACCATTTCACGTAAGAATCAATGAAAAACTCTCAACTAGAAAGAGAACGAGTTAAAATCGTTTTGTATCAGACCCACTATGCCTTCCCATAGTGAGAGGAAAAAGATCATTCAGACCTTCAGTAATGACATCAAATTTCATATTCTCGCCTCCATTTTCAAAGTCCATTTGAGACCGATGAAGACAATGTTGAATAAGTTTTGGAAAGAGGCAACATTAGAGAGGAAAACTGGATCAGGATGTCACAATAGGTTATATTTCAACTTAGAGCTAAATACATTCGTATTGTTCAATATATATATATATATATATATATATATATATATATAATATAAAAAAGTAATTTATAGAAGTCAACTCTTAGAGGCGACAGTCTGTTTCATGCTATATGCAATCGTCAGGCCACTTCACTTATTGACTTCTATTTTCACTTTTATATTTACACACGCTCTATCTCTGATATTGAGCACTTTATCCAATAAATATAGCACATCTTAAGACTATATTTCTTCATATATATATATATATATATATATATATATATATATATATACTGACTCTCCTGTCGAAATCGAGCAGATCCGAGGAAACCGACAACCCGACAACAGCACATGAGATTTGATTATAGTTGTTAAGATTTTGGGCAGGGCCATCCACAGTTTTTAAAGGGCCGAATACAGATACTTTATGCACTACTTGCCACAGGGTCACCAAACGACCCTCCACAGGTTTTAAATTCAGAGTTGTCCTATAGACCAGTTGCAATCCAAGGCTATAGAACAGTCTGACCTGCTATTTACCCATAGCTGGAGGGAGAAGAAGAGGATTCACAAGGGTATTAGCACGTAAGTGAATGTAATGGATTTGACTGGAATTCGAATTAGATTCCCCGATTCTTCAATGCAAGCCGCTAACCATTACGCCACTGTGCCTCCTCAATATATATATATATATATATATATATATATATATATATATATATATATATATATATATAGTTGTATGGATATGAGTTTGAGACCCTGGGTTTCATGCTTTTGCGATCATCAAACAAACTGGTTTATTTCTTAAAAATTGGATCTATCTATGCTTGTTAGACTATGTTTGGTAGTGGGGGGGATCTACTACTGTGTTTGTTTGGGGCGACACTCTTATATGCATAGACACACATACATACAGGCGTATGCCTTGTGGTTAAACACACCCATATAAACAATCCGAGGCTATGCAAAGATACATATCCTTACGTTCTGGCATACATACATACATACATACATACATACATACATACATACATACATACGCAGTTGTAATTCTGTTCAGGTGTCGACACCGTACCTTTTATATGTAGCGATGTTCCTTTCAACAAGGGGCGGGTAGAGGTATTCTTGACATTTTTCAGATCTATCACCTGCGCAGTCAGAGAAATTTATACTTCCTCACACACATACACGCTTTTAGGTGCGTACATACACTCTTATTGGTTTGGCTCTTTGGTTAAGCTGGGTTCTGTTTGTGGGCATGATGATGATGATGTTTGTATTTCAACGCTAATTGCTTGTGTGTTGTTGAATATTGTGATTATGCCGATAGTGATGATAACTGAGATATTATTATTATTAATACGTTAATATTACTTATTGATGGGTTAACGATTAATTTATCCTGAATGATGATGGAAACGAAAGTTTGAAAAAATGTGGGTTAATTACAATCGCAGTTATGATAATAGTTGTGGTAACCATGATAATGATAATGATAATAAAACAGATAATATAACAATGATAACGACGATGATAAAAATAATGACAGTGTTAAAAAGTAGTAATAATGGTAGAGGAGATGGCTATGAAGTGATTATTTTCGGTAGTTTCATTCTAAGGCTATGTTTTGTTGCAGGTGTTATCCGTTTATTATGAACTGTGATAGTAGGTATTTATTTTTGTGTCTGCATTTTGAAATTATTTCCGATCTTTGGTTTAGCAATTACTTTTGGTGTATGTGGAGGGACATTATTACCACTTTTTTTGTGCAGACGAAGTTGACAACTCTTTGAAATGTTATTGTAGGCAAATGTGGTCTTCATGATTTCCCAGCTTATTTCTGGTTGGATGCATCTGTTTATCAGTTGCCATGTGGATAGTGTGGCGCAGTTGTAGTATTTTCTGTTGGACAATGAGAGACTGTGCGTATATTTTCTTTGCTTCAATGTACATTCTGTGGACCCAATCTAATACATTGTAGTGTTGTTTGAGTTGACTTTAGCTTTGTATACTATGTTCGTTTGTAGGCAATCTCATTGTAGTGGTCATGTAGTTTTGTCTCTATAGTCGGACTGGGGGCGTCTTTGATTACGCTATTGCAAGTTATTATGTTTTTGTTGTGGATTTGTATTGTGTTATGATTTTGTGTAGCTGTAGGTAATTTCTACAGATATTGAGCGCTTTCTACTAAGTATCACGCATATAATATATATATATATATATATATATATATATATATATATATATATATATATATATATATATATAACCTTTTGTATATATAATTATATTTACAATAACATAATTTTTACTATACTATACACCCGTGGAATGGTAATCATATTGCGTGCACACACTCATAAACAGACTCAGATGCACTGTATATATATATATATATATATATATATATATATATATATATATATATATATATATGTGTGTGTGTGTGTGTGTGTGTGTGTGTGTGTGTGTGTATGTGACTCGCTATGTCTGTTTGCATTTAGTAATGCCTTCAAAAGTATATTTTGGGATGATTTTCGTGTTTGCTAAAACCCTTTACTTTTTACTTTTTTAAAACTTATCTTTTCGAAGAATACTTGCACGTAAGTGAATATAACGAACCGGGCTGAAATCGAAACTTGGCCCTCCAAATTTGCAATTCCGAACGGTTCTCCAAGGCACCACTCGCACATCCAAGCTTACAGCACGTGGCTGCCTTAAAATATCACCAATCGAGGTACTGACTAGGCTCGACGTTGCTTAATTTCGAAGTTCGTAAGACAACCAGCGTTTCAACATGATATACCCGTAAATATTATTTTTCAAAAAAAATCTTTAGAAATAAAAGAATCTTTTATTTGATGATATACTTATATTGCTTCATGTCCAAAAATTATATGAAACAGCGACAGAGGTTAAGTTTACTGCCTTCTCATCACTATTATAAATTGCAGGATATCAGATAATGACATCTGAAGATCTTTATGTAAAAATGTTACAGATTCACAAACGGTACCCTGTTATATGTTTATTATTCTCACAAATGCGCCACTAAATCATTATGAAAAAAATAAATATAATAATTCTGTTTATTTCATTATATTATACAGACATCCTTTACCAAACCTGAAAGGAACAGGAAAAAAAAGTGGTGTTTTTTTATGGTGGGAGACAGTCTGTTTCATGCTGGACGTTTGAGTCAAGCATGAAACTGACTGTCGCTTCTGAGTATTGACTTCAATGTTCACTTTCATATTTATATTTACATACGCTATATCTCGGATATTGAGCGCTTTATCCCATAAATATAGCACACCTTAAAACTATATATATATATATATATATATATATATATATATATATATATATATATATATATATATATATATTTATTTAGACATATTACAATGAATCATTTAACAACATTTTAATGATGTATTAACCTACAAATAGCTCGATGAATATTATTTTGAGATTATGATTTTTTAAAATTATAAACTGTGTTATATCTTCCTAAATATGCATATATATATATATATATATATATATATATATATATATATATATATGTGTGTGTGTGTGTGTGTGTGTGTATGTGGTTGTGTGCGTGTGTATTGGTTCAGCAATAAAGTCTTCAGTACTATAATCGTATGTGATAGTGTCTTGTCTCATACGTCGAGAGTCAAACATATATATATATATATATATATATATATATATATATATATATATATATATATATATATATATATATATAATGTGTCCAAATATGTAGAGAAAAATATAAAAGAACACTTTAGGTAAATAATCCAGAATTCTTTAGTATTTTTGTTATTAAAAAAAAAAAGAAAAACAGTGCTCTATACAGATGTAGAGATTAAATTATAGTTTATTTTTATTTTTTAATATATGCTAATCTATATTTTTTTTAATGTGTTATTGATAAAAGATAAAAAACAAAACTTTTGGAGCATGCAGTCGTAACGCTAAGGTTGAATTTTTTTAAAAATTTAAGTGAGTTCGTTTTTTTTTTAATAATATGGCAGTTTAAGAATTTTTTTTGCTGCAGGAGTTTATCAGTCACCATGACAGGAACTGAATAATTCAATAAGTAGAGTAATGTCTCAGTTGATATTCGTATTATATTTTTTCGTTTCGGATGCTACCTGAATTTTACAGTAAACGAAATAATTTCCATGCCTGATGATGACTGGACATACCGTCGAAAGTACTTGCGTACTTAAGAAAGAACTTATGCAGCTTATAATTAAAAAAATTATCATAAGATTCATCGAGTGGTTCGTAGATTAATACATCTTTAAAATTTAGTTAACGAATGAATTTCGCCATTTCATGTACTTAACTTTACTAATTTACTTTTTGTATGAATGATTCATTGTAATAACATGCTACAATTGTTTTCTAAAGTTTTTGTAGATATCTGAACAAGACTTTTCTGGGATTTTCTTCCATTATTCGGTGCTTTTTGAAGGTTTTTTGGTGACAGACGAAAGTTTCAATTCTTTCCATAGATATTAAATAGGATTCAAGCCAGGTCTTATTGAAGGGCATGGCAGAACTGTA